AAATAGCTTTTGTTCCTGTTGGAATTTCTGGATTAAATTTAAATAATAATACAATTTTAAAATTGCTAAAATCAATTTAAAACTGTTTTTCATATATATCCATTTGGCACAGTATAATTCTCTTCAATTTCAGAGCGAAGTATGCAATATAAAAAATCGAAACCAAACTAAATCGATTATTATCGATCTAATTATTCAAATAACAGTGATGTACAGTAATATAAGACGGACAAAAGAACTTGATTCATTTAGCTCGTCTTTTTGAGCAAGAATCTATTTAAAGAGATCCACACCTATATCTATATAGACTACATGCCACGCCTCTTTCAGCCTGTAACATCAAATGTTACAAATCGGTTATACTCTGCATTAATAAATTGAAAATAGGCATTTCTTGTTTACTCTGAATTCATCAATTCCTATGGATTAGGGGTAAACAAACAGAGCTAGAGTTACATTTAAGTAGCCAGATCTAGGTAAAGCTCGTAATAGATCGGTTGGATTTCTGTGGAATTGTTTATGCAGCTGCTTTGCGCAATGCAGGTGTCGTCGCAGACCGAGATTGTCAGCCTGGAATGGCGCATGATCTTGGGCAGGTAGCGCATAAAAGCCCAATGCCGACTGGCATTTCCGACAGTTGCCCAGCGTTAGCCAAATAGATCGAGCTTGAATTGGCCAATATGCAGTCCGAAAGCGAAAAGTGTTTCATCATGTTGCGTGTGATAATCCTGTCCAGCCTTGTGGCGCCAGCGTTCACTTACCTGCCGGATGTCAATATATTCACCAATTATCGCACCGAGGTCTACAATGGTTAGCTAGCGGCTACACTCTCTTCCAGTCCTGATTCCGTTTCACAGTTTTCGTTTTCTTTATTTATTTTTTCGATAGGCATACCCTCGGACATTGACACCACGCCGTTTGTTCGGATCGGCGATAACTATTATTATATCGAGCCGATGAACAAGGTGAACTGGTTCCAGGCAGCGGCCTCCTGCCGGATGATGAACGCCCACCTGGCCTCCATTGAGGACAAGCCAGAAATGGAGGCCCTGGTCAAGCACATCAAGGCCAAGGGCTTCAAGAACAACGACTACTTCTGGATCTCTGGCAATGATCTCGGCACCGAGGGTGCCTTCTACTGGCTCTCGACGGGCCGCCCCATGACCTACGCCCCCTGGAACGGGCCCAAACAGATGCCCGACAATTACGGCGGCAACGAGAACTGTGTCCACATGTTCAGCACACGGGAGCTGATCAACGATGCCCACTGCAAGATCCTGATGCTGTATGTGTGCGAGGCCAGCGATCCCAAGACCTTCAAGTTCACCTACATCAAGTGGTGAAGCGTGCTGAAGCCGTTATCAAGCAGAGACATACATAACATACGCATACATACATACATACATATATATTTGGCATTGTTTTTCTAAGTTCCTGTTTTGTATTTGTCTTTTTTGGTTTTGTTTTTGTTTTTTTGTTTTTTGTTTTTTGTTTTTTTTTGCGTGCATAGAACACGGCATTTATTAGGCGGTTGCTAATGCAACGGCTTTCACTTCATCATTATCATTATCATCATTCACATAATGATCGTTATTCGTCTTACGCATCAATTTGCTAGGTATACATTACACATCAGTTAAGTTTACGTTTTATGCATATAATAAATTTGTTACGAATTCATCTTAAATAACTATAAATTTTTTACCATACATACATACATATATATATATATATATATGTAGATATATATTTATCGTATCCTCGTAGCTCGTCTTTTAAGAATTGGCTACATACATATATCGTGTGTAACAATCGATGTAGCCGATAGTTGTACATCGATATACATACTTATGCACACACACATATGCATATACACATACATATGCATATGCACTTTGAAAAATACACAAACTAAATACAATGCTATTTATATATATTTATATATATATATATGTATGTGTGTGTGTATATATATATATAAAAAAAAAGACATTTACATATTACAACTTACTTGGCTAGGCAAACAGTGATCGGATATTGGAAAATTTACTTCATAACCTCAACACTAATATTGAATCTTGTTTAACTAGTATGCGTCCTGTCAGTGGCTGACTGTATGTGCTAGAAACATACATATGTATGTATATATATGTGTGTGTGGTTTTGTAAGTCTTAGAGCTTAAGCCTAACCTAACATTTGTTTTGTCTTATTTTTTTGTTTTTTTTTTTTTACTGTTTTACACACGCACGCACAACTGCAGTCATATGTATGTTTGTACATCTGTATGTACATATGTACGCTTGCATATTTATCAATTAGTTCATATATTACCTACACGTTATTTATATATATATATATACATACATATATATGTATTCAACAGATGAGTGCATAAATTTAATAATCCTTATTGGTTTTACTTTCGACATTCTAACATTTGTTCATCTCCTTGCTATGCATTTGTATATTTATGTATGTGTGTGCGTGCGTGCGTGCATACAGCATGCAAGCGTCTGTGTGTATGTGTGTGTGTCTGTATAGGTGTAAGGTGGGCTTCAAAGCAGCTGCCAAATCGCTATCTATCGCTCTCTCTTTCTCTCTCAGCTGCTAACGAGATTGATGATTGTGCTTGTTTGTGGGAGGGAGGGAAAGGGAGGGGAAATATTCAATTCTGCAGTTGATAGTCGAGAAAACTTAGCCAACACTGGCGCACACAAGGACGACGCATAAGGCTGCCATATCTTCACAAATTTCTGATTTCTTAGCTCTTACAAAAAAATATATATAAATAAAGAAGAGAACAGCCTAAATGTTATACATATACAAAGTCTAAATGTTTTTTCTTGTTTCTTATTTTTTCGATTTTAAAAACCTCTCTCAAAATGGCAGTACGTTTAAGATTTAAGACTTAAATAAAGGGAATTGAAGAAGATCTGGGACCAATGGGAGCATCCTTTGCCGGAATAAACTAACGAAAAGAAATCACATATCCATCCATATATATATATATATATATATATATATATATATGAATAGAGATATATGTGTATAATATGTACACTAATAAATGGCAGGAATTGCATATATGCATCTAGTAAGTATATGATAATGAATAATATTACAGTTTTTTGTTGTTGGTTTGTCGGTTTTTCTTTTTTGTTTGGTTTTATCTCGTTTTGTTTTCTTTTTTTTTTTTTTTTTTTTTTGTTTTGCTTTGAAACACATCGCATTCGCAATGTGTCTTTACAATTTTTGTTTTATGTGCAGAACTTTTAAATATAATAATCATAATAGGGATATTCAATAATGATAATAATAATAGTAATAATATTGACAATAAAAACATTCAGGCATTAATAAAAAGATGCAGCTTATTACAATTTTTTTTTTTTTTTTTTTTTTTTGTTTGTTTTTTTTTTCTCTTCTTCTTTTGGAGCTTATAGAAATTACATAATGCTACTAGTTTCTATATGATCTATGCATATAATTATAATAAATTTTCTTTATGCTTATATTAATTTTCTTCTTTTCTCTCATTATTTAGGGCTTTCCTTCTTCTCTTCTTTCCTCTTCTTCGCCGCGCAATTTCACTTAATAATATTAGCGTGATTTTTGCGCGTGGTTTTGCTGCTGCTTGATTTCTTGCTTTCGTTTAGATTTTCTTGTTAAACATTTTCTTTTCCTACGATTTTTGAAACAATTTTCTGTTTTCGGTTCATTCGAGCCTGTGGATGCAGCACTCTTAAGCTATATAAGCAAAGTAATTCATTACAAAAAAAAAAGTTTAGTTTTATAACTAGGGAAACAATATATATATGTGTATATATATAAAAAAAAAATAAAACACCTAATTGTCTTATAACTATATAATCCTATACAATTCTTGTTATTAAAATAATATTTCATATATATAAATATTTTCATATATATATATATATATGTGTGTGTGTGTATGTATATATACGTACTTAAATTTCATACTTCACATTGCGCTTCACATAATCTTACATTATGTATCATTTTTATTTTTTTTACTCATATACTCATATATATATATATATATATATTTATAATTTTTTTTTTTATTTTAGACTTTATTTTTTTTAGTGGCTTTTTTCATATTTATTTTAAAAACAAAATGAAATACCAACTAGCGCACGAATAGAATAGGGAAAAGTGTCAAGTTAACTAACTGTATAATATATATATATATACAGGTATATATATATATATGTTTATGTACTTAGGAAAGTTGATGTTTGTGAGTATGTGTGTTATAGGCGCAAGCGAGACAGCAATACACGTACAATCGATTATTAATGGATCGAATGTAGTTGCATATTTTTTTAAGGATTGTTTGTAATCTTTTTTCTATGCGGAGAGAGGAGTACATACAGCTATAGTTACATTAAATTTCAAATATACATATAGGTATATATATATATATATATATATATATATATATATATATGGTTGTATGGCGCTTTTCTTCTTATTCTCTTATTTCCATTAGTGTTTGTTAAGATATATCTATTTTTTTTTTGCTTTTCTTTCTTTGTTTTTTTTTTTTGTTTTTTGTTTTTTTTTGGAGGGGATTTTTGGGTTGAGTATATAAATTGTTATATTCATTAAGAATCTTGAAATGCAAAATTGCTACTAAAAGAAGTATACATATATATATATATGAAGTATGCATATATAGAAATATATATACACTTACACATACGCTTACATTGGCGATATGTCTACAAGCAATTACATATACATCAATAATTATTATGTATACGTATACATGGCTATATGCACATATACATATACATATATATGCACATATACATATACATATATATATATATATATATATATATATACAACTAAATATACATACACATATATAACTAAAGATTTGAATTAATGAATGATTGTGAATGCGAATGTGAGTCTGCTATTCAAACTATCGAGAAAAGAAATTGTATATAAGAGAGAAATAATCATAATCATAGTCGCTATCATAATATTCTTGACGCACGCAGCTATTTGTAGATTAATGCACATGACGGACTATGCCATTTCTCGCTATCTCGCTATCTCACTCTTTCCATCTCATTTTCTGTCTCTGTTATCTCAACTTGTCTCGACCCGCCTGGACTAAATATCTGTTTCTATCCCTCTCACTCACGCTGGCTTCTTTGCTTGCCTGAACCAGAGTTTTGGAATATTAGAATAGCATTTGAGTATCCTCCTTAGCGATCGTCTGCTGTAGCCACCTGGCCGGAAGCCGAGTCAGCGGATTCACCACCAGAAGCGCAGCGTGGGGAACGGGGCGACGAACTGGAACTGCCAACTGAGGATTCAGACGATATGGAAATGATTGAGGAGGATGAGTTAACCAGGCGCGTATCGCGCATTTGCTGCAAGCGGCTGTGGCCGCCGCTATGGTTGCTGCTGTTGCTGCTGCTGCTGCTGCTGCTATTACAGCTAAGCACGATCGCTGCGGCGCCAGCTGTTGTGCAGGAGGATGATGATACTGTGGGCGAACCTACCGCTTTAGATACGCCTGTTTGAAAATGCCTACGATGCTGCTGTTGCTGTTGCTGTTGCTGCTGCAGTTGCTGCTGATGGAGATGGAGCTGTTGTTGCTGATGATGATGCTGTTGCTGATGGAGTGGGTGATGATGCTGCTGAAAGGTAGTGCTGCCAGTATTAGCACTACTACTATTGTTGCTGGACAGTCGCAGATGCTGCGGCCGTTGCTGCTGGTGGACATGATGGCTGTTGTAGCTGCTCTGCTGCACATTGGAAATGGTCTTGGTCAGTTGTTGTTGCTGCTGCTGCTGCTGTTGCTGCAACGGCGGTGGCACATAGAGCGGCTGGCGGTAATACGAATTGTTGTGACTGCGCTGACCCACCGACTGCTGGCCATAGCTTCGCGTCGCAGTGTTGCTGTTGCCGCCAGCACCTCCACCACCACCACCACCACCACCACTGCTGCTGCTGCTGCTGCTGCTGCTGGTGATGGTGCTGGTGCTGCTAATGATGTTGCTGCTGATGGGCTTGCTGTTGCAGATGGCTTGGACGTGGCTGGTTGTGGTGCTGCTGGTGGTGGTGTAGACATGGCATTGGTTTACTGCGTGATCCTCCAGTACTTCCGCCGGGGCATCTCGTAGCTGCTCCACGTCTGGCTGTTGTAGTTGTGAAGAAGATATACATGTATGTTGACTTGGCTGGGCCTGTGGCTTGGCTGGCATGCTGGCCGCAGTTGCTGCTCCGGCGGCGACGACGCCGCCACCGTTGGTGCGCAACAACAATTGGGCACGTGGCGTTGCGATATTTGAATTGGGAGCAATTGCGGCCAGCATGGCACAGCCTACGACCTGCTGCTGCTGCTGCTGCTGGTGCTGCTGCTGCTGCTGCATGAGGCCGGCAGCCATTCATCATGTATCTATGCGTGTAGGTGTGTGCATTACCGACGAGCCCGACAACGAGCTATTGCTGATCGCCACCATAATCGGCTTGGGCACGGTCACTGGCATCGCTGTCACTTCCAGTCCGTTCGGCGGCGAGGCGGTGATGTCAATTATTTCCATTGCCTGCTGCCCGATCCCGATGCCAGTCAGCGACTCTCTATCCCGGTCGCCAACCTCACAGTCTTTGCTATCCTCGCTGTCTTCCGCCGATGAGGTGCTGCCTCGCCGGTGACGCAGCGCCGACATGTTGTTCAGATTGCCAACCAGCTGGCCCTGCGGCTGCAGCTGATGTTGCTGCTGCTGCTGTTGCTGCTGCTGTTGTTGCTGTTGCTGCTGGTGTTGTTGGTGCTGTTGCTGGTGCTGCTGGTGCTGCTGCTGGGCAGCCGCTGTCACTGCCGCCACAGCTGCCGTATGATATGTCTGCGTCAACGTATGCGGCTGCAGCACCGGATGATATATCTGATGCACCACGGTGCCAGATGGCAAGATCACATACTTGGCAGCGCCATTGGCGTAGGTGGGCAGCGACGACATCGGATCCATGGCCGTTAGATATTCAAAGTTCTCGCGTATCCATTCGCGATAGTCAATGACGTCATCGGTAATGTGAATTATCCGACCTACGGACATATCAATAATAGTATAAATATTCCCATGGGATAGCACTTCTCTAACACTCACCCAAGATGGACGTCTCACGCACATCGTTGCCCCAGAGATTGGATTCGCTCACAGCATTATTGATCACACTGAAAGCGCATCGGAAGGCCTGACGCACATGGAGGGCACCGTAGCTGCTGCGTCCGATATCGTTGCCGGGCGTCAGAGGATCCTCGATGCAGAGCAGTGACGGCCTGTGGCCATCGACCATGTCCCGCTGCAGTTCGTCCTTGGGCATATAGCGGCCGCCGTTCTTGATCGAAATACCAATATTAATGTAGTTAAAGCTCTGTCCGTACAGCTCAAAGAACTCGAGCAGTAGCACGCCCAGATTCGTCGTGTCATGGTAAATGCCACGCGGATGCAGTTGCAGGAAGCTAATACACATGAGTATCAGTGAGTACGATGAGATGCCGCCGGTGAACACCTCGTTGAGATCGCGCAGCAGTAGGAACTGCTTTAGCACCAGGACCAGCTTCCCCAACACCGGATAGTCGCGCTTAAACTGTTTGATCAGCTCTGCTGATTGCACGCCCGATTGCATATTGAACGATATGTCGACCTTCACTTGTGTCTCCCGGTCCGTCAGCTTAATGATCGGGACGGACGCCTTGTCTAGCACACGGACCGTACACGCCTCGGCGATGCCGCGCGCAACCAGCTCGAATTCAAGAGTGCGCAGCGGTAGCTTCTCCCAAAGGCCTGCAAAACAAATGCAACAAATGGGGCAACAGGAGAGAGAGGAGGACGAGGTGGTGAAGACAGAGAGTGAGAGAGAGAGAGAGAGAGAGAAAAAGAAGAATAAAAGAAGAAAGGTTCATTATTAATAAGCCATTGAATGAAATGCAAACAGTTGTTCCAAGCGATCTAAACATCAAGAGTGCGCTAGTCGGGAATACCCGACTAGTTGGTACTTTGTGTAGGGTTACCCGCAGATGTTCTTTCAATCAATCCAGGAAGGTATCAAAATTCCAAAATGTACCAATTCAGTGTACTCATGCGAGGAACTTACACAGCAATTTAGAAAGCTTTAGCTTTAGTGGTATTCAATTTTGGCTCAAAATCCCATATCGACTAATAGGTTAGGCAGAAAATTTGAAAGTTTTCAAGTTGCACTTAAAAATCCACATTAAGGCTTCGATAATTATAGAAAATTGAGTAATGGCATGACTAATTGATAAGTCATAAATTCATTTTGCATACAGGAATTTCATTTGAAGTCTCCAGCTTATATGGTTTACCAGACAGACAGACCTACATAGCTATTTCGACTCAGAAAGCCATTACCACCTGCATTGCCATGGTATAAAAATAGCTCTCGATGAGTCTGGCTAAACAATTTCGAATATATTAAAGTAAAAGTCAAGCTAAAGCTTAAGAGAATTGCATTGTGCCCATTGTCTTAAGTTCTCTGTGGAATGAAACCCAAATTAATAGTGTTAGTCATATATAGAGTATTTATTTTTGTATGACTATTTTTACCATTTAGATACATATACATATGCGTATATATGCGTATGTGTACATGGTAAAAAAGAGTCATACAAAAATATGTACTGTAAGATCTAATACATATCCCTATTATTGAATGAATATCGTTCAAGAACCAAATAAATATATGGATTAGTTGGATTAGTTAGCTGAGATAATTAGCTCTAGTTTTATATCTCTTCGTTAGCTTACCTAGTACCACGAGATCAATGTCGGAGGTGGGCAGAAAGAGGCCGGTGCGAAAGGAACCAAAAATTTCGACCACGGCCTGCGGCCATATGGAATGGACAACGGATTCGATGCGCTTGACCACTTCGTTGCGTATCGCATGCTCGCAGGCCGTGGGCAGGACATACTGATAGAAATGATCGATCTCTTCGTGCAGTCCAATGATGCCCTTGCCGTACTGATAGTCGCGCACACGCCACGGGCAGCCCTTGTATTTGGCAATCATGTCGGCGTGCTTGGTCAGATTCAGAGTGCTCGACTTGTTGTCCACGACGCGTTTCCTGCGCGAAGGATTGTAATAGGTGTTGGCGCGCTCGTGCAGCGGCACCTTTGACGCGGGATTGGCTATATAATTGGTGCTGCTGCTTCGGCTGCTGCTGCTGTTGCTATTCGTGTTTGTGGTCACGGTGGTGCTACTGGTGGTGGTGTTGTTGCTGCTGCTGCTGCTAGTGGTTGTGGTGGAGGTAACGGTGGCACTATCACCACCGGTCGGCGTCGTTGTACTGCTCACAGCTGCCGTTGCCGTTGCTGTTGTTGGCGTTGCTGCAGCAGTGCCGGTTGCTGCAGTTGCTGCTGCTGATGGTGTCACGTTGCTACTGTTCGCGCTGGCGCTGATGCTGCTACTGCTGCTGCTGCTATTACTCGCTGGTGAGTTATTGTCGTTGTTCGATGTTGAATCGATGGACGTGTTGCTAGAGCTTTTGCCTCCGTTAATGCTGCTGCTGCTGTTGTTGTTGTTGTTGTTGTTGTTGTTCCCGTGCCGTGATGGCTGCTCGTTCAACTGCTGAAGAAGAATTTGTAATGAGTCGGGATCGCGTAGACTGATCGTAGAATCGTTGTTAACAATCCTAGATGCTGCGTTGGTGCTGCTGCTGTTGCTGCTGCTGCTGTTATTGCTACTAGTACTGCTGCTGCTGTTATTGGTATTGTTGTTGTTGTTGTTGTTGCTGGTGTTGCCGGTGTTGTTGCTGGTGCTATTTCCGTTGTTGCTGCTGTTGTTATTGTTGTTGCTTTGCTGAAGCTGTTGCTCTAGAAGTGGACCCATTTCCTGGGAACTCGTTTCCCAAATCTTTAACCATGTGCGCAGCGCTGGTCCCTCCTGTTCCTCCTGAAACCAGCCAACACACGGATCCATTCAAATGGGCGTTTTGTGTGCTGGGCAGCGTTTACGCTCCTTCTGATTTCTCTGTATCTCCTTCTATCACACACACACACACACACACACACACACTCTCTCTCTCTATTTGTTTTTCTCTCACACACTCGCTCTCTCTAAAGACCTCTATCACCCTCACACTATGTCACTGTCGGTGTGTGTTTTTAATGTATGTGTGTATGAATGTGTATATCTGAGTGTGTCTATATATATATTTATATATATATATATTGATCTAAATATTGATGTTTAAGTGTAGATCGACCGACGCCGCCGCTGTTCCTGTTCCTGCCGTTGCTGCTGCTGGCGCTGTTGTGGCGGAGCTCTGTTGTGTCGAGCGGCGCGTAGTTAGACGTACTGCAAATGCATCTGCATCTGCAATTGCAATTGCAATTGCAATTGCCTCTGGCTCTGGCTCTGACTATGTCTCCAGCTGTTGCTCTGGCGCAGCATCGGCGTTTGTTCACAGCGGTGTGGTGCAAGGCGGTGTCGTAGTTGTTATTAATGATGTAGTTGTAGTTATAGCAGTTGTGCTGCCTGTGAGCAACTAAGCAAAGCTTGTCCGTCTAATCTCTGACGGTTTTCATAACAGTCCCACCAAATGTGCAACTTACTCACTTTTTAAACTGGCAACTTGTTTGCTTGATAAGGCTACGCCCTGATATTTCGTCTCAGGCGTCTGTAACTGCAATTAAAGAAAACGTTTTTTTTTCTCATTCAGTAAAGTAAATTTGCCAAATATATACATATGAATCGATTCCAGCATTTAATTTTACATTAACACACTGACACAGCGTTGCCACCTGATAGAAATCATTGTTCAGCACCGACACATGCACAGCAAATCACATTCACTCTCTAACGGGCAATCTCTGTTTCCCCCAAACGAGAATAGAGAGAGAGATCATGCATCATTAATGGACTTGTGACGTCAGGAATGCTCGATCTCATTGGACCATACACACGCACACACACCTACGCCCAATGATCGCATGTGTTATCAAGAGTGGATTTAACTAAATAGAAAGCGCAAACAATTGCATTGCAAATGATGCGCTATTTTCCTACAAATAGAAATTCATTGGCGCCGCCTTCGCCATTGCAGCAGCCGCAGCAGCTGCAAGCCAAATGCAGCTGAAGCGTAGAGAGCAACACCGGCGACGGCGACGGCGCCTCAGCAATTCGTTTTTATACACATTTTTTTCTTTCTTCTTTGCAGAGTACAAATGCGCTTAGCACTAGCCGAAATCGACAAGAAGCAGAGCCAAATGGGCCAAAGAAGACAATAAAATACAAACATACATATGTTTATACATATGTGTGTGCGTACATATACATATATACATGCATGCGTTTTCGTTATCGTTTTGGCAAGCGAGCAAGCAATGCTCACGAGACTACCGCAAATCACATCGTTTAGCTGTGTGCACGAGCGTGTCTATGTATGCGTGTGCGCGTTCGTTTGCGTGTGTGTATGTTTGTGAGCAAGGGCGTACAGGTGGCTTATGGCGTGGGTGCCGGAGCGCGGGCAATGCAAAAGCGCGCACATGTATGTACATTAAAGTGTTGATTATGCAAAAAAAAATTATATCAAAAATATATATAATAATAATGAACTGTTAATCGTGTGTATTTTTTTTTTTCAATGTTTAAGCACACGTTTGCACTGCAAGTCCACTTTTATTGCAAAAGCACGCACACTTACACGCACATTTCACATTATATTAACGCACGCGACAGCCGTTATATTTACCAGTCAAGATATCTTAGTTGCAGCAGCTTCAACGTTTAATATGACAAAAACACAGCCATATGCATGTCTTTACAACATGCATACACCCACACATACAAATGTATATATAAATTTATATATACATTTATGCAGATATGTATGTATATATATACAGAATTTGGCTAATTAACACTTTCGGCTTTTTGTGGGGTACGAGAAGACAGGGAACACGATGTTCGTTTTGACAAATGTGTATTGTAAATGAGACTATCAAATAAATAAATAAGACGACCGACAGTGTTTTAGAGTTCTGCACTGTTAGCACAAATATTATACAATATCTTAGTTTCGAATTGTTTAAAACTTTTCCTATCCGCGATGTGTAATATTCAGAGCAGCTCTTACTGCTTTACTCCAGCGCTGCCGCATGCAGGGATGAGCTATCGTAAATATCGATACACATCATATGACATCGATTATTTTGTGAATTTTGTTAATTTCAAATCCGAAATTTGATTGCTCACATTTTCATTTCAACTGCGGCAAAGTCCTTAATGAGGTAAGCTTAGGTATACATTATTACATAACTTTTAAAATAACAATTGTTAATATTTGATCAATCGGTTGGTGCTGTAGACAAATTAATGCCACTGCATTCATTTTATTCGTGACATAGTGAAAATTGATTTGAATTTTACCCGGCAAGAGCAGATGTTGCTAAAATGCGCTATGGGCAAATGTAGGTCGGCGTTGCCACCTGATTTTAAATAATTTTAAAATACTGTGCAAAGTCGACAACTGACAGGCTAGTAAACAATTAATTTGTGCAACTTTCCGCAATTAGTGATAAATTTAAAAAATAAATCATTTTTTGATAATACAAAATCAGATTAGACAAATTGTCACTCCTCTCAAAAATAGTGCGTATGGTAGCTATACCACAGCCACCCTCTGGCCCCCGCCCAAAACTACACTACTACTGACACTACTCCAAATGCAAAATGTAACTTGCACATACACACACACGGACGCATTTATATACAATGGGAGCCAACCGACGTCACACATATGTATGTATGTATGTGAATATATACACTCGAAGAGAATCTGATTTAACTTCTTTCTTGCCTCCGAATAGCTTCTCGCGTAATTCCGTTGGAATTTTTCACACACATTTTTTCTTTACCTTGACGAGTTTGTTCTCGTTGCGTTTGCGTTGTATTTCAAGTTTAGCAAATACACACACACACACGGACTACTAGTACACACACAAATACATGCACATGTTCACCCAAACGACGATTCAGTGCGATTAAAAGTTTCTTTTTGCCTTCAATTAAATTAATGTTTGACTAAATTTGGATGAAAAAGAAGAAAAAAAAAAAACAACAAAAATTACCCGCCCCAAGATTCATTTGTCATCGATAAGAAGCGATTCATGCAATTGCTGTGCGCTTGCAGCATTTGTGGCAATCCTTATAAGCACAATTTAGTGCTTTCATACTTTCGGAACGTCCGCTTGTCTGGTTGCTATGCCTTTTATGCACATATACACACTCACAAATATGGACATACATACACACGCACGAAATAGTTCTTTCGAGAATTGCTTATTACCGTTTGCAATTGCATTCAGCTGCAGATAAGTTCGCTACTTGATAACAATCAATATGCACTATTAGTTCAGTGACTTGAAATTGGTAAATTTGCGTTTTTAAATAAATTAAAAAACGCCAGCGAAATTGCAATTTATCTACGAACACGCGACGGCTACGCAGTATTAGAGATTGACAATATACAACGATAGTGCAACATCGTTCTTATCGATGTTAACGATATTTATGCATTAGCCATCGATATATGCCGGAGCAGACATGTAGCTCGTGTCCGATAACTAAACGATTGTTATTTGAAAATTCAAATTCACAACTGAAATTATTTTTATTGAATTCACAATTTCCAACAAGCTAAAATTCAGTTTGGTTTCTGTTTATGTTACATACAAAAAAAAAAAAAAAAAAAAAACATCATTTTTATTTATTGTTTTCGATTTTCTCAATTTATTAGCTTGGTTTGCTCTTCTTGAATTGTTCGAATTAGTTACACATAACCATTTTTGTTTTCCAATTACAAATTAAGTACACACAGACAGGCTACGATTTTATAATATTTTTTTATTGTTATACCTTTAATTGTTGTCTTGAAACCAAAGAACTTCGTTACGCCGTGTCATTGGAAATGACAACATAAAGTATTTTTCTAATTTGTTTATTTGGTCATTTAGTTTGAATTGATTTCTGTTTTTTTTTGTTTGTTTTTGTTTTGCATTAGTTTGTTTCTTAAGTAGACTATTTTTTGAAATTACATAAAATGCGCAATGTACTTCTCTATATGTAATACATAGATGTTTTCTCTATATGTATATATATATTTATATGTATATTGGATTTACTCTTTTTTATTTCAATAACTTTTCTTCTTAAACATATATAAATATGTGTTTCGCTTTACTATGTTTCGTTTATATGTTTTTATTTTTATTTTATTTATTTTTTTTTTTAGTTTTTTGTTTTCTAAACATTTATTAAGAGCGGCATACTCAACAATTATTACATACAGAGTTGTTTGGGCTTATAAGTTCTTATATATGTTTGTGTTTAAGTTAGAATTTAAAAGTTCTGTTAATGATGCTCCCGACATAAATCTGTGTACAACATTTAAAGCTTGACTATTATTTTCCTCTTCAGATTTACCTATTATTGTTTGTTTGTTTTCATTTTTTCTTCATTGTTTTTTCATTCTTGGGCTTATACCATGCAATAGAACTTAGCCACTTTCAGGGGCATATTGACGCAACATTCAACACCTATATATATATATTTATATATAATTCATTTAGTTGTTTCGTTTAGGTTAATTAAAGTTAATGGTAAAAAAATCTAAAAAAAAAGTTTTCCCTCCATTTTTTCTTATTTTATTATTCTCTTTTTTTGTTTGTTAATATTTTCCTACATAGCACACCGATCCTTCATCTAATAATGTTATTTACTATACTTGCTAGTCGAGGACATCATACATTGAATTTTTCTGCCTCTTAGTTTTGGCCTTATTCGTGTTTTGGCCCAAGCTTCGCTTAACGGTTTATTATTATTACATTTTTTTTTTAATCCATTGGAATATTTATTTGTATCTTTTTATTTATTATACTTAAGCATTACGATTACCTAGGAAAAAAAAAAACACAGTTTATTGGTAATTATAGTCCATGGCATATTACGGAAGTGTTTTTAATTTTTTTTATTTTTTTTATTTTTTATTATTCCATATTTGGCTTAGCACAGGACTTATATATGTATATGAATATAGTCGCTTTTTAGCGACTATTAAATTTATTAATTAACGAATTAATGAAATTTCCATTTTCTTTCAATAGCATTTTAACATTTAATAAGAAAGCATTTATTCGAATACCCGTTCACGTTGTGATAAAAGGGTATACTGGTTCCTTGATGTCTGTTCGACTGTGCGTATAGTTTGACAGCTGAAATATCAATAGTCTCTGTTACTTCTGTATGAAATATAGCAGATCTATAGTTTGTAGTTGTTGTTAATATAGGCGGGGCAAATCAAAAAAAAAAAAAAAAAAAAAAAAAAAAAGAAGTTATATTTTCTAAATTTTTACTAGGATTTTGGATCTGTCCCGAAGATAGATGCCTAAACTCGACTTTTTTATGCCAAATTCATCTGCTTATGTACCGTGAACGAGTATTATGCAGTCGGTAGCACCGAATATCTTATTTTTTCATAATTTTGCTTTGAACGCTTTCAACTACATTTAAGTTTCCTTTTTTTTTTTTTTTTTTAAACATAGAAGTTGGACATAAAATAATGATGATGTTGTTGTTGTTGTTGTTGCTGTTTAAAATATTAAATATAATATTATTAATATATACAAAAAATAACATTCAGTCAAATATATATATTTATATACATATATGTATATGTATATATATAATGTGTACATATGTTTGCTATATATTAGCATAGCTATTAATCTAAACCAATCTTTAAACCACAAGACAGGCATACATAGACACATACACGTACAGACAGGTACACGCACACCCACATACAAACACGAACACACATACAATCATACCTTTATAGACATCAACAACTAAACAAAGATTCCATACATAAATATATATGCCTATATCTCTGCATATATCTGTACTATCGTATAATCTACAGCTAATCTGAAAATGTCAAATGCTAATGCATCCAATTTAGTTCCATATTATGTCCCCTACGATATCCATATATTTTTCAATAGACCCCACGCCAAGCGATGCCAATCAAATTGTTAACAATTTGTTTTTTATTCTTTCTTTTATCATCATGTAAAACACAATAATGTTTTCCATTTTCTTTAATAATCAGTCGCATAAATGAATCACCTTGCTTTTCTTTGTATTACAAAAATTCTTTTGCTGGCCCAATTATCGCGCATCTCAGCATACATACATACAAAAAAGACTAAAAAAATACTAACCATAAAATATAATCAAAGATGAAATACCCTTGTAGACATAATACATCTCTTCTATTTCTACTAATATTACCATATTCAAGTATCGTGAAAACTCGCAAAAATTTCAAGATACTTCTAATATATCCGGATTATATTGTACTTGAGTGTTACTGAATAAATGACAAATTCTACCAACAATTCAGAAAAGCATCATCACTGACACATTATTTCTATGGCAGCTGTAGGATTTATGTAGTAATTAAATACTAGATGATAAACTTAATATTCACGATGTAAACTCTCCCATTCGAGAGAAGAGCTAGCACAGATACAAACAGATTAAGAACAGATATACACATTGACATATATTTTATATAATAGTGGTAGTATTTTAATTTTGCTTAAAATACTATCTACAAGAGTTTCCTATAAAGAAAAGTACAAATAATAAATAAATAAATACTTAATAAAATAGAAGACAGAAGAGAACCGCAGGCTAACAAGATTTTGTTCGTTTACACTCAATCAATCAGTCACACTCGAGCACACACGCAAAAATACTAATAAAATACTGAGCACATCTTAATAAATGCCAAATTCTGCACATTTTATTTATGGAAATATACTATAAATATATATAATAATAACATAAAACATTTAAAATGATACGTTTTTTCCAATCATTCAACACATTAGTCACTACTAAAAAGAAAAATACTAAACTGTTGATCAGCAGACATTAAAAATGTCCTTTTACTCATTTTAATTTAACAATTTGAATTTAACAAAATACTTTAAAGATACCAAACAAAGTTTTCAACAGAGAATAACAAATATTTCTTGTATATCCACACCAATCACACAACTTTCAATCACGCCCAAAATACTAAACCTATTTGAAATCAAAAAACATTAAAAATGCCCACTCAACATTTTTTTTTTTTTGCATATATTCAAAAGAAAGTGAGGATAGCAAAGAAAGAGTCACACATACATACATAATCAAGCATACTCTTATACATTCACTCTTCGAATAACTCTTATACACACACTCTTGTACATATATAGAAGAAGACATTCATCCTCATACACTCACATTCTTCTTCTCTTCTACATACCACTCGAGAGGAGTGTGTGTATAAGAGTATGAGTATAAGTGTGTGTATATCGCTTTTACGCTCACCCATTTATATTCACTCTTATACAAACACTCTACCACAATCACTCTTATACACACACTCTTATATAGACACTCTAGAAGAATGTTTGCATAAAAGTGTGTGTATCTCTTATACGCTCACTCTTATGCAATTACTCCGATGCATTCATTCTTGTACAAATACCCTCCCACAAATACTCTTATACAAACACCCTGCCACACACAATTTTATACAGGCACTCTTATGCACACACTCTTATACTCACACTCTTATATAGACACTCTAGAAGAGCGTTAGAGCAAGAGTGTGGTACCTCTTATACATGCACACACACTCTTATACATTCACTCTTATAAACACATTCTTATACATACGCACTGCTACAAACACTCTTATACACACACACACACACACACGCACACTCTCTCTCTCATATAGCACACGGAGTTCTCTAGCATTGGACTTGCTAATGGTGAATGATGCGCATCTTTTTGGCCAGCGTTGTTTCGGCCTGTTGGAGTTTGCGTTTGCTGCTGTAGTTGCAGAGCTTGTTGGAGACTTTACTAAGGGTCATTGCCGATGAGGTCATGAGGTCAAGTGCTTGTAGACTGTTGTCGAGCTCGTCGAGAGCTGAGAGCGGTGTTGTGGCTGGTGTTGTCTGATTGTGGCGCTCACCGGGATCGAGGTCGATATCGATTAGCTGATTGGCCAGCGGATCCTCGTCGTAAGGATCGTAGGGGGGTCTTAATTATTGTTTAAACACAAACAGACCGGTTGGGTCCCACTCGTTGTCGTCGACGGGGCCGAAGCACTCATCGAAATACCATTCCATGGTCTTATAGACATGGCTCAGCGATCGGGTGATCGTATGATCCTCATCTGGGTACACCTGATGACGGAATTTCACCTGCTGATCCACCAATGCCCGCACCAGCATCAGCGTATGCTCCTGATGCACCAGCGTATCCGCTGTGCCGTGCATTAACATCAGATTACGCCCCTTTATGTTGCCCGCCTTCATGGTCAGGTCCGACTCCTGCAAAGCGCGCAAATAGTCGCCCTTCAGCGGTATATAGCGTTCCGTGAAAAATGAATCTGGCAAATGGACGATATAAGATATATAATATAGAAGATTATTAACATTTATAGGTTATAGTGATTATACTAGAGATCTGCGAGATTTGAGATGATAAGAGGAGAAATGTTTCCATTCTAATGGTGCGCAGTGTACATAAATGGTGGGGTATTTCAGGACAGGCAATACTCACAATGATAGCCAAAGCTCACAATGGGATTGATGGCAACGGCGCACTGGAGCACCTGTTGCGAATCATCGATGAGCATCATGGAGGCGGCGTAGCCGCCGTAGCCCCAGCCAAAGGCGCAGATGCGCAACGGATCGATGAACTTGAGATTATCGCGCAAATAGCTGAAACGACATCAGGTTAGGCAAACAACGAGTGAGTGAGCTGTGACAGCCATGGGACTTACGTGAGTACGCCGAGCTGATCTTCGACCTCGACGGTGCCGAGCTTGCCATGCACCTGGGTGCGCAGTAGTTCACCTTGATAGCCGCTGCCGCGTCCATCGATTTGGGCCACAATGAAGCTGCGCTGGCTGCACAGATACCAATTCCAATCCACTTGGAAGCGCTCCGTGACCAGCTGTGAGCCAGGCGCAGCGTCGCTATAGGAGGAGGAGGTTATAGAGAGGGATATATAGGTATATAAATATACAGATATATTGATGGAAAAATATATGGATGTACAGTTAAAAATATAGATATAAACATGCATATTTATAGGTTTATAGATAGACATATGACTCTGCTAATGTCCGTACGGTAATTGCGACAAAAATTCTGGTCCTCAGACATACTTATACAGTTATTGCGTCTTCCGGTTATAACGATGGTGCCTTGATCGTAGCTATAACCGGATTCTACTGTATATATATATATATATATATATATATATATATATGAATATACATTAGAATCCGGGTATAACGATGCTCAAAGGACCGTCGATATACCCGAAAGATGCTTGAACCGTAGTAGTTTTCTCATATAAGTTTGTCTGGGGACCAAAATTTTCGTCGCAATAACCGTACGGACGCTAGAAGCAGAGTCGTTATAACTGGACTCTACTCTACTATTATATTGAACTTGACGACTCCGCTTATAGCGTATGTACGGTTATAGCGACAGACAAACTTTTATGAGCAAACTTATACGGTTATAGCGGCTGCCGGGTATAATGATCTCTGAGCCAGATACTACTCTATACAGACTTATAGATTTACAGATTTATAGACTTATAGATTTATAGATTTATAGATTTATAGATTTATCGATTTATAGATTTATAGATTTATAGATTTATAGTACAGTAGAGTCCGGTTATAACGACGCTGAAGGGACCTACAATTAACGTCGTTATACTCGAAGGATGCTATAACCAAGCGGAGGCCTTTTCATATAAGTTTTTGGGGACCAGAGAAGACATCGAATTTTCTTCGCAATAACCGGACGAACGTTATAGGTGGAGTTTAAAGATTTATAGATTTATATATATATATATATATATATATATATATATATATATATATATATATATATATATATATATATATATATATATATATATGGATATATATATATATATATATATATATATCTATATATTGATATATAGATATATGGATATTTAGATACATAGACATATAGATATATTGACAGACATATAGACATTCCTAAGCTGATCGAGACTTACACATGTAGCACCAGTGGAAAGGCGACCTCCTCCTCCTCGCGCATGCCTGGCGGCAAGTAGAGACGCACCTGTGCGTGGAAGCCATGGCGTATCTCGACGCTGAAGGTGCGCGTCTGCGGTATGGCCAGCTGGGTGAGACGATGGCGCAGAACATCGCCCGCGTTTAGTACAAAGATCTTCTCGTTGCTGGACGTCTCCACCAGGTAGACGCTGGGCGACTCCGGTCCGAGGCACTCCTGCACGTAGAAGCTGTAGTCGCGACTGAACTGGACGCGATTGTATAGACAATTCTTGGGTATGTCGTAGATGCAGTCGTCCGGCTCCAGGCGCGACACAATGTCCTCCCACTTCTCGCCGCGCTGCCAGGCGGCGGCGTTAGTGCTGCGGGCGCGATGCAGCCGATAGGTGGACTCCGTGTTGTCGCAGGTGAGGCAGGTGGGCTGCGTCGAGGTGATGTAGGTGCGATTCGTTTCGGTGACGTTTAGTTTAAGGCTGATCTTGTAGAGGTGACGTTCGCCCGGTCGCCTTTCAGGAGCAGCCATAAAATAAACGATCTCGCGCTGCTCATCCCAGCCCACGATTTCGGTCACCTCGAACCGGCCCATGGTCAGCGGGACGGGCCGTCGGTCCAGCGACGATATGAACACCACGTGCCGATAGTGGCCGTGCTCGCCGTCCCGCACGGGCAGACGCTTCAGCAGATAGCCCCCATTGGAGATCTCGTACGTCGTCTGGCCGTTGGTCACATTCGCCTGGCTGTCGTCCATGGCCGCATCGCCGTTGGCCAGCTCCTGGAGCTGCAGCTGGCGCAGCTGGCTGCCTCGCATCTGGGCAGCGATACGAGCCGAGAAGATCGGCTGCTCGGCGGGCAGCACCCAGCCGTCGTTGATGGTCACCTCGGTGTGCACCACCTGGCAGTGGAAGTGCGGTGCCCGGCAGATGACAGTCGTTGCCTTGGTCTGATCCCGGCTGGTTATCGTCACGGACAGATCGATGGGCGACGCCCAGGTCAGGCCGCCCACATAGCTGCCGTTGCCCAGATCCCCGGGCAGCTTGATCTGTGTGGGAAATATGTACTTGATCACCGACAGATTCACCACGTTGACGGTCACATTCGGATTGCGCGCGCCCGCCTTTGGATAGCGTTGGCTGAGCACCGCCGGGTATTTGATATTATCGCCCATCCATGTGTATCTGCCGGGACAAAAAAATGGGCCATTGATTGATGAAAATGGAATATAAATATAATATAAATATAAAGAAATATAATACAATGAAGCAAGATATTAGCTTCATCGGAAACTATTTAGGCTACCCTTGCATCACTTATAGAGAGTGAGCGAGAGGGAAAGTAAAGAAGTGCGGGTGAGAGGGAGAGTGACTTATACTTATACTTATACTTATACTTATACTTATACTTATACTTATACTTATACTTATACTTATACTTATACTTATACTTATACTTATACTTATACTTATACTTATACTTATACTTATATACTTATACTTATACTTATACTTATACTTATACTTATACTTATACTTATACTTATACTTATACTTATACTTATACTTATACTTATACTTATACTTATACTTATACTTATACTTATACTTATACTTATACTTATAATTATACTTATACTTATACTTATACTTATACTTATACTTATACTTATACTTATACTTATACTTATACTTATACTTATACTTATACTTATACTTATACTTATACTTATACTTATACTTATACTTATACTTATACTTATACTTATTATACTTATATACTTATACTTATACTTATACTTATACTTATACTTATACTTATACTTATACTTATACTTATACTTATACTTATACTTATACTTTATACTTATACTTATACTTATACTTATACTTATACTTATACTTATACTTATACTTATACTTATACTTATACTTATACTTATACTTATACTTATACTTATACTTATACTTATACTTATACTTATACTTATACTTATACTTATACTTATACTTATACTTATACTTATACTTATACTTATACTATATACTATACTTATACTTATGTATACTTATACTTATACTTATACTTATACTTATACTTATACTTATACTTATACTTATACTTATACTTATACTTATACTTATACTTATACTTATACTTATACTTATACTTATACTTATACTTATACTTATACTTATACTTATACTTATACTTTATATATTATACTTATACTTATACTTATACTTATACTTATACTTATACTTATACTTATACTTATACTTATACTTATACTTATACTTATACTTATACTTATACTTATACTTATACTTATACTTATACTTATACTTATACTTATACTTATACTTATACTTATACTTATACTTTATACTTATACTTTTATACTTATACTTATACTTATACTTATACTTATACTTATACTTATACTTATACTTATACTTATACTTATACTTATACTTATACTTTATACTTATACTTATACTTATACTTATACTTATACTTATACTTTATACTTATACTTATACTTATACTTATACTTATACTTATACTTATACTTATACTTATACTTATACTTATACTTATACTTATACTTATACTTATACTTGTACTTGTACTTGTACTTGTACTTGTACTTGTACTTGTACTTTGTACTTGTACTTGTACTTGTACTTGTACTTGTACTTGTACTTGTACTTGTACTTGTACTTGTACTTGTACTTGTACTTGTACTTGTACTTGTACTTGTACTTGTACTTGTACTTGTACTTGTACTTGTACTTGTACTTTGTACTTGTACTTGTACTTGTACTTGTACTTGTACTTGTACTTGTACTTTGTACTTGTACTTGTACTTGTACTTGTACTGTACTTGTACTTGTACTTTGTACTTGTACTTACTTGTACTTGTACTTATACTTATACTTATACTTGTACTTGTACTTGTACTTGTACTTTGTACTTTGTACTTGTACTTGTACTTTGTACTTGTACTTTGTACTTGTACTTGTACTTGTACTTGTACTTGTACTTGTACTTGTACTTGTACTTGTACTTGTACTTGTACTTGTACTTGTACTTGTACTTGTACTTGTACTTATACTTATACTTATACTTATACTTATACTTATACTTTATACTTATACTTATACTTATACTTATACTTATACTTATACTTATACTTATACTTATACTTATACTTATACTTATACTTATACTTATACTTATACTTATACTTATACTTATACTTATACTTATACTTATACTTATACTTATACTTATACTTATACTTATACTTATACTTATACTATACTTATACTTATACTTATACTTATACTTATACTTATACTTATACTTATACTTATACTTATACTTATACTTATATACTTATACTTATACTTATACTTATACTTATACTTATACTTATACTTATACTTATACTTTATACTTATACTTATACTTATACTTATACTTATACTTATACTTATACTTATATATACTTATATACTTATACTTATACTTATACTTATACTTTATACTTATATACTTATACTTATACTTATACTTATACTTATATATTTATACTTATACTTATACTTATACTTATACTTATACTTATACTTATACTTATACTTTTATACTATAATTTATACTTATACTTATACTTATACTTATACTTATACTTATACTTATACTTATACTTATACTTATACTTATACTTATATACTTATACTTATACTTATACTTATACTTATAATTTATACTTATACTTATACTTATACTTATATACTTATACTTATACTTATACTTATACTTATACTTATACTTATACTTATACTTATACTTATACTTATACTTATACTTTATACTTATACTTATACTTATACTTATACTTATACTTATACTTATACTTATACTTATACTTATACTTATACTTATACTTATACTTATACTTATACTTATACTTATACTTATACTTATACTTATACTTTATACTTATACTTATACTTATACTTATACTTTATACTTATACTTATAATTTATACTTATACTTATACTTATACTTATACTTATACTTATACTTATACTTATACTTATACTTATACTTATACTTATACTTATACTTATAATTTATACTTATACTTATACTTATACTTATACTTATACTTATACTTATACTTATACTTATACTTATACTTATACTTATACTTATACTTATACTTATACTTATATACTTATACTTATACTTATACTTATACTTATACTTATACTTATACTTATACTTATACTTATACTTATACTTATACTTATACTTATACTTATACTTCTCCACAGCCTACTTATACTCTTAATGATAGTCCCTTATACTTGAAGATTATTTCACTTCTCCCATGACTTATATTCACTCGCTCTAAGCTCTTATACAGATCTCCATTGCTTAAGCCTATCTTGCGCAACCAGCTCCGCTCTTATACAGTTTACCTACCTAAACCCATCGAACTACTACTCACTTATACTCGTTGACTTCGCTGTCGTTGAAGCTGAAGAATGCGAGGAACATTCCGTCCGGCGAGAAGGCAAGGCTGCTCCGTTTACTCTCCAGCTCGGGCACATTCTCGTACGTCCAATCGGGCACGCCGTTGTAGAAGATGCCCGCCGCGCCCGTCTGCGTGATGCGGCAGACGAGCTCGCCCTGCACCTTGGGCTTGTAGTAGATGTCGTTGTGGTGCACGAAGGCGATGGCCTGGTTGAGTGTGTAGGCCGCCCTGGCACCTTGGCCATTGCCATTGCTCGCACCGCTGCCATTGGCGGAGCCGCCGTTGGTGGTGGCCGTCGGCTTGCCAGCACCGCCAGCTGCGGCGCCTGCAAGGCTGTTCAGGATGATGCTGCCGCTGGGCAAGGGCGACTGTGTGGCTGCTGTTGGCGGCGGTGGTGGTGGAGGTGGTGGTGGATTGATGGGCGCCCAGACCACGTGCTGCAGCCGCGGCGCCTCGGCAATATTCTCCGTTGGTCCCAGGGGAAATGTGTTGGCGGTTTGCACCTCGTAGACATGATGTCTGGTAAAAGGCAGTTGGATTAGGCGAGCAGGGTCTCTTAGCGGGTCTATATAAAGCTTACCTTGAACCCTCAGCATTGCTGTCCGATTGTAGCAGTACGTACTTCTGATCCGGTGCAACCAAAAAGGATTCCGCATTCAATTGACGCTGTTAGGGAGAGAGAGAGAGAGAATGCTATAGACATAGAGAGAGAAAAAGAGAGAGGGAGTGGAAGAGGAAGAGGAAGAGGAAGAGGAAGAGGAAGAGGAAGAGGAAGAGGAAGAGGAAGAGGAAGAGGAAGAGGAAGAGGAAGAGGAAGAGGAAGAGGAAGAGGAAGAGGAAGAGGAAGAGGAAGAGGAAGAGGAAGAGGAAGAGAGGAAGAGGAAGAGGAAGAGGAAGAGGAAGAGGAAGAGGAAGAGGAAGAGGAAGAGGAAGAGGAAGAGGAAGAGGAAGAGGAAGAGGAAGAGGAAGAGCAAGAGCAAGAGCAAGAGGAAGGGAAGAGGAAGAGGAAGAGGAAGAGGAAGAGGAAGAGGAAGAGGAAGAGGAAGAGGAAGAGGAAGAGGAAGAGGAAGAGGAAGAGGAAGAGGAAGAGTAAGTGGAAGAGGAAGAGGAAGAGGAAGAGGAAGAGGAAGAGGAAGAGGAAGAGGAAGAGGGAGAGGGATACTCACAAATGTGGAATTGGTCATCAGAATGCGTGTGGTATAGTCCGTCATATTGAGTATGGATAGGCCGCCTGTCGGATCGCGATATATTAGCTCGTGATCTGAAATGAAATTTCTTTGAGTTAAGGCTACCCACTGGGAAGTCTGCCATTCGCTACCCACCATTGCTCCAGGTGCCATTGAAGGGCTTCCACTGCAGGCTCTTGCTCAGAATATCGCTGGGCAGCATGCGGCGTCCGCGGATGCGCAGGCCCTCATCCTCCGGCGATAGCAGAAATATCGAGAATATTATCAAGCTGAAGACGGCGGCAATGACCAGCAGAGCTATGAAGATGCCGCGCCAATTGCGACGCTCCGGCGATATGGCCACCAATTCCTGGAAACAAATAAAAAAAAAAAATTTTATTTTTATTTCTCATGAGGTATTTAAAATATTATGTAAGCTTCTGCTTAAAGAGCATTTGAAAGTAATTTCATTTTGCACACTCTTCTCATGTTTTTTCGTGCTCTTGTGTTGGGCTTGGGAGTGGCCCTAATGCCGTTTTGCTGCACCCAGTTCCGAGTATTACGAAGGCCAAAAAGTTTCTGCACAATTATTTTGTAGCTATTGAGATACTTTAATTAAGCAAATTGGATTTTTATTTGGCTGAGACTAACTTAGATGAAATGTCATCGAATGTAAGAGTTAATTAATCAAAAGTGTTTTAATTGCAATGAGATTCGCATAGAAGGGCGATCGGGTGTTTAAGAGCGAAAATCAAAATGTCGTATAAGAGTGAAAATTAATTTAGTTACTGCTCTGGCTTGTTTACAGGGTATCCGTCAGTCGAAAATTTAGCTTGTCTAATGAACGGCTTACTAAATGTCATGAAAATCGCATAGAAGAACGACGTAGCCTTTGGCGCTACAAGTAAAGGTCTTATAAGTGCCAATAGAATATGGCATACTCTTTCAATTTGTTTACTGGGTATCACTTAGTCAAAAAATCAAAAGTTGATTGATGAAAATATATTTTGAATAATATGAAAATCGCATAGAAGGGCTTATCAAGATATGGCACACGCTCTACAAATCAGAATTTCATTTTTTCCACTAAATTACAGATTACAGGGTATATCAGCGTCATGTACATATTTCGCGTGACGATTATAAATTTCATTGGAAACATCTAATTATGTTGTTCCATCTATTTGTTCCATCTATTCCGTTTTCCTGCTGCGCTTCGCCTTGGTGGATTTTAATATTTTTGATTGATTGCCCGAGAGAAGCCAAGGAGAGTGTGGAAAGCGAAATGAAAAAATTGCTTTTATGTTATTTATTGGATTTTCATCCGCTTGTTCGTCTTCTTCTTATTCTTCTTCTCTATTTTAATAACTGAACATTCCTCGTCTTAATAAGAGTCCATTTGCAGTGCCAACATCGATTGAGTTTTTAGACAATTTAGTGTGAGAACTGAGTAGATTAGGCCAAAGGCGTAAATGAAAACTAGGAAAAATGTTGGAATCGAGCATGTACTGATGATACTCGTCCAAAAATAGTTACTATAGCTCTATCAGTAGTGCAGCCGAACAGATAGACATAAATTGATTCTAGTTGATTTGAGTTATAAAATTGAAATGTACATATATGTTATATATCATGATCATCATCATCGGAACATTTATAGTCTCCTTCAATTCGTTCACTGACAATCATAACGACCTAAAGCCTATATAGCTATCTCGCTCTGACTCAGCCACAGTCGGAGGCTACGTTCGGTATTGCTCTCTCTTACTCTCACTCAGTGAGTTTTCCAACACTATTCCATTTAAAAGATGTTGGTTTACTAGCATTCAAAATAAATGACGATAGTCTTATGCAATGCATCCTACCTGAAATATTATATATTTAGTGTATATATGGAGGTATGCTAAATTTAGAGCAAATATACCCATTTGACACTCCATAAACGCGCATCAAAACTAAAATCAAATTGCGAAACCAATTTGAAGGATAAATTTAGAAATGGCCAAAAGGAAAAAATTTTGTGGAGCTGGAGGCAATCGATGAGAGGCGAAAATGTTCGCGAATACAAAATGCATTTGCTCATGTGGAACCACTTTGTGTGGCTGTGTGTGCCTGTGTGTGCCTGTGTGTGTGTGTGTGATGGATGAGCAGGAGAAGGAGGTGGAGGAGGCGTGTCACGGGGTCGACTGGCGGTGCTAACAAGTGCTGCATGTGATGTGCCATTCCAGCGCTAAAGTCCTTGATGTGTGCCCTAATTGACAGGCGAATGCCAATGAAATTAAGGCTAAAATTTGCAAACATGCCCAGGAGCAGCAGCAGTAGCAGCAAGCAATAGCTGAAACAACAACAACAACAACATCAAGACAACGCAGAAGAAGCAGAACAACAATAAAACTATTTTAATGCATTTTGCATGTGGCTCGCAGGCGGCTTTGGGGCCTGCCCGACTGAAAACTTGCTCAAAACTCGGAGCAGTCGAGCTTGGGGCCAGGCAATTTACATGCATATTTAGAGAGTCGGAAATTTCACAACAATTTTTCATCCGTTCGGCATTTTGCCCGAAAAGCGTGGCTCAACTAGAAGAGGAAGCAGCTGCAGCGCCACTATTTGTACAAAATGCCCTGTACTTGGGTCAATAGCTGTTGGGGATGTAAGAAACAGCTTAAGGCATCTATGAGTATAAACTAACTAGCTCGTTGTCTCTCCTCTCTCTCTATTTCTCGATCTCTCTGCTTCTCTCTCTCTCTCTCTGCCTCTGTAGAACGCGTTCAGTTGTTGTAGCTTAATATATCCACATGTTTAAACCCCTATAACTAGCAGTATCTTGATGATGTATTAATTCACTCTATGCTCTTATCGATTAATATCGATTTCTTTAGCATTCTATAAGCAAACCAATTTTCGCATAGAGAGAGTCCATATACTCTCAGAGTTTATATACTCTCTGAGTTCAGACTTCATATACTCTCAGTACACATCATCACTTTACAGGGTATATCCCTTGTCGGTTATATTGCTGTTGTGGGCGAAACTTATTTGCTTTTAACTCGTTTTTGCTTATGTTTTCCTTTGGAATTGAATTAAAAATTCATATGCACTTGCATCTGCCACTTGCCACCTGGGGGAGTTACGAGCTATTTGTGGATGCGTCAGCTAATCGGATTTCTTGCTGGCCGTAGAGAGAGAGAGAGAGAGAGAGAGAGGGAGAGAGAGTTGGGGAGAGTAGGAACTGAGTGTTCAGTGCTAATTGAAACTATTTGTTAGTTTCATTGGACTAAAAACGTGTTAGAAAGCTACAAACGCAAACAAAAATTTTAATTAAAATCAAATACATCTAAATTAAACAAATATTACAAAACAAGAGTATATATGTTATTCAAGTCTACAGGTAGGAAATATTGTTCATTTGGTGATTGTAAATAGCTAATCTTCATCAGCTTCTACGTCAGCCACAAAAAATAAGAAAATCGGAAAATGGGAATCAAAATATTCCTATATACATATTTAAGTCAGACAGTCGAATTAATTTTAGGTATTACTCTACTTAGAAAACTGAACATTCATTAGTCCCGGATTTCAAGTTACTCTCGGTTGAATTTCTTGCGAAATAAGCATTCGATAAGTAATCGATATTTCTTGAAGCAATCGAATTACTGTCGTCACTCAGCGCCACATAAAACTGTCCACAGAGCGTCACATCTATCAACGCTCTGATGATTTTGGGCATTATAATGCTGTTTCATTTTACGACGGAACACACTCTGAAAGGGGTCGAGCTCTCGTTTGAGTGCCATGGATGGATGTTCTCGCTTTTAAAGCAATTCTTTAGTATACAATAAAAAATGATATTTTTACTGCTGTCATTAAGCGCTGCAACAACTTCAATTGGCGTCCGAGTTGCTGGACGCCCCGGCACAAAAATGTCGTAAATTATGCAATTCGGTGATCAAATTTTTTTTTTTGCTTCTGGCGTTTTTTTTTTTTTTTAGCACCTAAGTGCTTAATTTTTTAGTGCTCGTATAACCCTTGCAACAGTTTACAAGCATGTTCCTGCCTCTGGTCGCCGCCAGAATGCAGAATTTTGTTTCTTTCTCTCTCTTTTATGAACCCATTTTGTTTAATATTGAATTTAGTTTGCCCTACAGCGTCAGATTATCATCAAAAATGCGTTTAACAATTCATTAAAAGGCTCCCAATTTAAGTTCTCTTTGACATATATGTAGGTAACTGGGTCGTACTGAGCTATGTAAATATTCTGTAAAAATTTGAATAGATGAGCAAAATAATTTGATTAAATGATTTATTAAAGATTATATGTATAATGTTCAGCTAATATAGAGCATGTATGTTTATTTATGGTATACTGTTTGGTTATACATATTATATAAAATTATATGTGTATATGTCTAAGCGAACTGAGGAATATCAGTTTCCAGATTCAAGCACCTTTATAGCCATACTCTGTAAGGAGTTCCCTGTGTTGTTGGACTTTTGGTATTAACTCGCACAGTTCTTGACTTCTTATTCTATCTCACATTTCAGAATGGCTACATTTGTCTCACTCTAGTGTGTCTAGTAGTGCCAGTCCGAGTAGAGGCGTGTTAGAGGCGTGCTGACGATTTGAGTTATGGCAACACTCTAACTCCAACAATATGGTGCTATATGGTTAGAGAATTTATTTTACAATATCAGATTATAGTGTATTCATGTATATCTAAAGTCTTTATAGTCGTTATAGCCGTATAAGTTTGTCTGAGGACCAGAATTTTCGTTGCAACAAGCATACGGACGTTATATGCGGAGTCGTTACTTCTCTGTTGGTCTCCCTTTCTTCTTCTTTCCCTCACTGTCTCTTTCTCTCTCTCTCTATCTCTCTCTCTATCTCTTTCTAGCTCACACTATAGTTCAGCGCAGCACAGCTTGATTGGCTTTCTTTGTAGAGTCTGATACTATAAACTAGCGACCTCTGCATAGAATATTATATATAGGCACAAATCATTTACTCTTTCCTCTCTCTATCTATCTCTATCTCTATCTCTCTCTCTCTCTCTCTATTTCTTTCTCTCTCTCTTTTAGACTCTAAGTCCGAGCAGGACTGGCTCCGATTATCGGGTATATTTTTAACATGACAGTTTTCACTAGAGAACTCGAAAGCAAACGCCGCTTGGCTTAGTCTACCAATCGAGAATATATATGTATGTATGTATACGCTATATTGTCTACTCATACGCATATGTGTATATAGCTGCGCCTCTCTCTCTCTCTCTCCAGATGACAGTTTGTTTCAGTTATTTCCTAGTCCCGCACTTTTCACTAGACACCTGTAAAAAATGATTTTCTTTTTTCGCTATGAGAAGCGTGAAATATAGT